CTAAAGGTGTGGATTCCGGGGGGGGTTGGGGGGACCATATATATATATATATACAATTATATATATTTATATATATTTTTGTATTTTATTTTATTTCTATTTTTTGGCCTCCCTCCCCCCCCGGGGACTCAGACCCTCTGCTTTTATAGTGGCCAGACCCTCAGTCCCTGGCGCCCAGCGCTCCTCACAGCACACAGGAGCTTGCAGAAACATTACAAGTATTAGTGATGTTCTGAAGCAGCTATGATGTATGGTAGCTATAAAGAAAACAACAACGCAGGCCCCCATGACGTGGTTTTCTGTCCTTAACAGGGCCTTTAAGGGAAGCTATGGGGTTTCTATAAGTGTACTAGAAGGGTTCTCTATGGGTAGTCCTTCCTCTATATGAGGGTCCCTCTCAGGGTCCTTTTTTACCGGGCCTGTACTATTTCTGGGCATAGTAGCTACGTAGTAGATATTTCGGCCCCAACTCCCACAGTCACCAAATGCTCCTGCATAAGCCTGTAAACCATAAGCCCCAAAGCCTTACAAACCCAATCCCTCAACCCTCAGCCCTAAGCCCTCAACCCTTAACCCTCAAACCCTGAACCCTAAACCCTCAAGGGCTCAAGTCTAGACCCCGTTCGAAGCAAACATCTCGCTAGGATTCAACTCCCCGGTCGCAATTCCACCACGTCTGCGACATCGTGCCGACCATTTACGAGGCAGAGATGGGAGTTCCGGGTTCAGGGGTTAGGGCTTCGGGTTCTCAGGGGGTTTAGGGGGTTTAGGGGGTTTAGGGGTTCAGGGGTTTAGGAATTAAGGCTGCGGGTTTCGGGGTTCAGGGGTACAGGGGAATGGGGCTTTAGGCTTAAAGGGTTTAGGGTTTAGTGACATGACTGCATTGCTGTGAAAAATGAAGGTCTGAAACGTTAGTTAGGAAGATCCCCTTTTAGTCCGTGTAGAACGATCCTACACTATGCGCCAAAACCTAAGGCCCTTACATTAGGGATCACTAGGGGTCGGAATATTGAGTGTAGTATCTTCTTAAAGCACCTGAAGCTCCCGCAAAACGTCAGGTTTAGGGTCCGGGGTGGAGGGAGTAGGGTTTAGGCACGAGCACGACTGGCACCCCAGAACACACACCGCCCTGTGGTGGGAAGAGGAGACCCACCCCAAAGATTTCGTACGGTGGCGGCAGGTCGAATTTTGGAGCCCTATGTATGAACCTTAGGTCCAACACTAATAAAGCCTGCAACCTCAACCTGAAACCCTAAGAAGCCCAAAGCCTAATTGCCTTAAATAGCCGAAACCATAGCCCCTAAACCCTAAACACATGTTACCTGTCCAGTATGGTGACATCTGAGGGTGTTTTGGAGAAAGGGGCGTATTTCAACTTAAAAAAGCCCTAAACCCTAAAAGTTTAAATCCAAAACCCAAACCCTAAACCCTAAATCCTAAACCCTAAACCCTAAACCCTAAACCTCAAGAAGGCGATTGGAATCCAAGAGCCGGAGCACGTGGAAGGCACGGCTCAGACGCTGAGCAGGGTCTGCTGTAGAGGTTAGTCTTGGGGTTTAGGGTTTAGGGTTTTGGGGTTTGGAGTCTAGGGTTTAGGGTTTAGGGTTCAAAGTTTAGGGTTTAGGGTCTGTTGTAGAGGTTTAGGGTTGGTTTAGGGTGTGGGTTCGGAGCAATTAAATTTAATTGGTTAAGTTATACGGTAGCATGCTAATCTTCCAGGCCCCGATTATACACTCGGGGTTTAGGATTTCTTGCTCAAGTTTAGACGTTTGGAGCTTAGTGCTCCGAGTTCACGGACGTTGGATTTGGAATTTGGAGAAGTGTCTTTTTTAGTATGCCATTGCCTGATGCGTGGGGACGTAATGACTAACTACAGGGTTTTGGCGAATTGTGTAGCTGTATAGGGGCGCTACTGGAATACTTCTATTCCTTGTCAATTACAACATGGTCTTTGGAACTTGGCTTGAAGGATGTGCATTTGGTTTAAAACTAGGATGTTCAGTAGTATCCTTTTGTACTTTTTTGGGGGTATTTGTTCCTAACATAAGATAACTAACCCAAAAATGTATAAACTTTTTCCCAGTTGGTTACTGAACAGCTTAGAAAATGAGTTCGTTGTGTTTGAGGGCAGGTGTGCAAGGCGTTGGGTGTGTAGAACCGATAGTAAGCTTGGCCACTGAGCCCACGCTGCGATTTCAACATGGGCAGGGTTTCTAGGGCTTCATAAGGTTTGCTGGGAAGTTTGCGGACCCTAAACCCTAAACCCTAAACCCTAAACTCTAAACCGGTGTTGGGGGTGTGTGTTGGCTCTGAAATCCTCCGTCCCTGAGCTCCAACACGATTGATTCAGCTTAGCCTTTGCACCGGAATGTCGTAGACCCAACCCCGAACCCTAAACTCCTTAACCCTAAACCCCTAAGCCCCTAAGCCCCTAAATTCCTAAACCCCTAAACCCCTAAACCCCTAAACCCCTAAACCCCTAAACCCCTAAACCCCTAAACTCCTAAACTCTAAACCCTATCCTAACTGCTCAGGCTCCTGAAGCCCTCACGGCCTTCATTATGATAACTACAATGGAATGTATACCTCCAATGAACCCTATTATACTCTAATCCTTGAAGCCTGAAGCCCTAAAGCCCAAACCCTATACTACTCGTATCCTCAAAGCCCTAGACAAGCCCTAGACCCCAAACCGCATATGGGAGGTTTCGAGAATCAGGGGTACCTTATTTGGGGGTCCTTATAATAAGGATCCTACTACTTAGGGTGCTATATTAGGGTCCCCTATTTTCGGAAATCCCGCATATTGCTCGCATCTGAAGCCAAGGATCCCCCTTGATGGCGTCTCCATGATGTACACTTGGAACTCAGACGAAAGGATGGGCGTGGCTTCAGGGATTCACAGCCTTTGTCGGATGGTCCCTACTGCTACTGCTGCTGCTGCCGCTACGGCTTCTGTTGCTGCTACTGCTACTGCGACGACGACTACTACCACTACTACTACTACTACTACTACTACTACTACTACTACTATTACCACCACCACCACCAC